TTCCTACCAGAAGATCAGGGGTGTGGCTGAAAGACAGCAGTAAGAACAAGTCAAGGAGTAGCAATAGAAAGGCTGTAGAAAGAATCAGGAGCCCAGGGGAGGGTGGGGGGCAAAGGAGGTGAGGGAGTGGGGGCAGAAAGAGGAGACGAAAGCAGACGACAGAACATTGCTAAAGAGCAGGAAAGGAGGTGAAAGGAGACAAATTTAGAGAAGAAAACGTTTCGGTCACTACCCCCAAATCGAACCCGGGACATTTTAATGAGAGGCCAACACCACCTCTAGGCCACGAGAGCCCCCGTCTAACTAGATGTAGGTTCTAAGCCATCTAGATCTACCAAAGCTTAGTTCTAACTAGATATGTCGTGTACCTATGCTTCATTCAACTAGGTATGTATTAGTTTTCGTAAGAGTTTTAAGGCACTTGCATCAGCTACAAGAGAGTAACAAACCCAAAAAAAGGAGGAGAGACAAGGACGACAGCTGTTTGATAGGAAAGAAGGAACAAACCGCGAAAGAGCACCCATAACTAGGTATGTATTCTACCTAAGCTTCAGTCTAACTAGGTAGATCTATGAATTAGTTTTCGTAGTAAGAGTTTTACGGCACTTGCAACACAATAAGGTCATATAAGTGCCGAAGAATAGGAGTGCTACTAGAGATTAACATACACAAAAAAAGAAGGATGAGAGATAAGGACGATAGCTGTTTGATAGAGGAAAGAAGGAACAAACCGCGAAAGAGCACCCGCCAACCACCCACAACTAGGTATGTATTCTATCTAAGCTTCAGTCTAACTACGTAGATTTAAGAATTAGTTTTCGTAAGAGCTTTACGGCACTTGTAACACAATAAGGTCATATACGTACCGAAGATTAGAGGTGCTACAAGAAAGTAACATACACACAAAAAAGAAGGAGAGATAAGGACGATCGATGTTTTTAGTTTTAGTAGAGATTTTACGGCACTCGCAACTGCATAAGGTCATATGAGCGCCAGAAGATTAGAGGTGTTACAAGAGGGTAACAAACATAAAAAAGTGGAAGGGGAGAAAAGGACGATAGATGTTTGATAGGAAAGAAGAAGCAAACCACACCAGAGCACCCGCCAACCACCAACTGACAGATGTTTGATAGGAAAGAAGGAAGGAACAAACCGCGAAAGAGCACCCGCCAACCACCCACAACTAGGTATGTATTCTACCTAAGCTTCAGTCTAACTAGGTAGATCTAAGAATTAGTTTTCGTAATAAGAGTTTTACGGCACTTGTAACACAATAAAGTCATATAAGTGCCGAAGATTAGAGGTGCTACAAGAGAGTAAGATACACAAAAAAGAAGGAGGAGAGATAAGGACGATAGATGTCTGATAGGAAAGAAGGAGTATCCACGCCAGAGCACCCGCCAACCACCCATAACAAGGTATGTATTTTACCAAAGCTTCAGTACAACTAGATATTTTTTCTACCAAAGCTTAGTGCTAACTAGATCTAGATAAATCCTATAGCCTACCAAAGCTTCAGTCTTACTAGATCTAGATAAATCCTATAGCCTACCTAAGTTTTAGTCTTATTAGATCTAGGTATGCCATTAACCAAAGCTTAGTTCTAACTAGATCTAGACGTTTTCTACCAAAGCTTAATTCTAACTGGGTATGTCATTAACCAAAGCTTAGTTCTAACCAGGTATGTTTTCTACCAAAGCTTAGTTCTAACTGGGTATGTCATTAACCAAAGCTTAGTTCTAACCAGGTATGTTTTCTACCAAAGCTTAGTTCTAACCAGATATGTTTTCTATCAAAGCTTCAGTCTAACCAGGTATGTCATATACCAAAGCTTGGTTCTAACCAGGAATATTTGAACATCACAATTAGAAATGTTTTGAACAACACAATGACAATATTATCGTCTCGACAAAGCCCGACTTCTTCACTCCATCCAGCCGTGTAGAAAAATCCTGTGAAAACACACGCCTTTCTATTAGATCGAAAGTCCCACGCCCTGGCG